AGCCGAAAACGTGTCGGCCCAGTCGGAACTCCCAGAACGTTTACTTCTCTCTTGCNCTTTGAAGAGGAGGTAGACCCTCCCCTCCTTCACGGCCATTACGGGGTTGAAGGAATAAACGTTGGAGTTCACCGAACTGTGGCCCTTGGTCACCAGGTGCGTCTCCCACTTGTCCTGCTGCTTCCACTCACTCGTCAGCGCGTGCCGCTCCATGATGTGCGTGACGAACCCCTCGCAGTCACCGCAGCGGGCATGGGCTGCGGCAACCAGAACCCCGTCGACCTCCGCAAGCGAGGGAGCGGCGTAGTCGTAGTTGCCCTGCTCCCGCGACGCAAACACATCCACTCCGTCCGGCAGCTGTGCAGAATCCCGGTTCGCCGCCGCCGCCGCCTCGCAACTCAACACGAGGAGGAGCAGCGGCAGCGCCGCGAAGGCAGACAGGCGCCGGGGCATGCTGGGCCGCTCTCTCTCTCTCTCTCTTCCTTCTCTCCCTGCGGTGGGGCCGCTCAGGCAGCGACGGCTGTGCGTGCGTGTGTGCGGTGTGTTGCTGGCGGCGGTAGCGGTAGAGCCTTCGAAGCGCACAGCGGCAAAAAGCAGCGTTTGGTCTCTCTTTTCCTTCGGCGTGCGTGTGTGTGTGTCTTGCTGGCAAAAGGGAGAAGCGGGGGGGGGGGAGCAAACGTACAGCAGAAGGAGCCGGAATAAGAGCGCAACACGATGTACACCGCCTGTTTCTACAGTTAGGCCAACACATCAAAACCATCAAGTTTCCCGCAGTTCCCTCCCGCCGTAGCCTACGCACACAGCGACTCACGCCGCCAGAAAAAGAAACCACCACTTCGGGTTCGGCTGCCACGGGGCAGCACATACCGAAGAGCCACCGCAAACGCCAGTAAACAGGAAAAGGCGAGGGTCTGCGCTCCCAAGTGAGCCAACCAACGGGACGCGTTGGAGGCCACGCCGCCCTGGCGGCAATTGCGCCTCGTCGCCGCAATTTCTTTGCTTGTGGCGGTGCTTGCGCCATTCGGGCCCGACAACAGAAGTTTTTTCGCGCAGCCGGAGGCTCCCCGTTTGCTTCCCCGCGGCGGAAGCGACGGTGAACGCTAGAGCCTTTGGGCGGGAAGCGAGCCACACTTCCCACACGCCCCTGCTGGCTCCCGCCGCCACAACGCACGAAAGGCGACAGCGGCATCTGCGTCTTGCCTCATGTGGGGGTTATTTGCTCCTCGAGAGGCTTTTTCTTTCTTGGTTGCATGTTAAAGTTGCTTCCTTGTTGTTTTGCTCTGTGCAGATTAAGAGGAAGGAGTAGGAGCGACGCTTCGATCATCGTGAGCAGCAATGCCGCTGTCGCTCATCGGGGGCGGTGCCGAGGGTGATGCCCGGGCTCTCGCGCCGCCGCTGCTCTCTCGCATGGCTTCTCAGCTCAATAAAAAACGCGGCGGGCCACTTCACGCCGCCTGCTCTGCTACCTGGCGGAGACGTGCCCTTCACCCCGCCCAAGACACTGCTCAGCGAGACAGTGGTACAGCAGCAATATATACTGTTTGGGAGAAGGCTCTGCAACGTGGAGGTAAACTGCATAAAGAACCACTCTCCCGCGCCAGCCCAAGGGCGACAAGCTTTCACTGACGCGCTTCTGTTGCGGGGGGCCAGTTGTAGGGGCTGAAATCATCCGCGGTGTTCGTCTACTCCTATGCCCCGTTTTGCAGTGAATACAGGTGAGGTAGCTGGGATTGCCGTGCTGATATGTTTGCGTGTGCCTGTGCGTGTGTGTGTGTGTGTATCCGTGTCTGCAAGCTAGCAACATGTGCCATGATTTGGGTGGTCGGCCGGTTTGTTGAAGTTAACCCCAGAGGAGTGGTCCCCGCCCCTCCTCCGCAGCCTGTCGTACACAGACCGCGCAAGCTCGTCAAAGGCCTGCTCCACGCCCGCACGCGTCTTTGCGGAGGTGAAGGCCAGCAGCATCCGGCGTCGTTGCGCCAGCTGCTGCGCCTGCTCCTTCGGCACGGACATGAACGGTGTGCCCTCCGCCGCGTCAGAGACGCCGCCGCCGCCGCACTTATCAATCTTGTTGCCAATGAGCAGGTACACCGCGCCCTCCTCGTCGTCGCCGTCGCCGCGGCAGAAGGCGTCGGCCTCCTCCATCCACCGCTGGAGGCCGTGGAAGGTCTGCGGCTCGTTCACGTCGTACACCAGCACGACGGCGTTGGCGCCGCGGTAGTAGGAGCTCGTCAGGGTGCGAAACCGCTCCTGCCCGGCGGTGTCCCAGAGGTGCAGGTTGACGTGCCGCCGCGCCCCGTCGGCGTCGACCACCTCCACCGTCTTCACCTTGAAGTCAATCCCGATCGTGGAGCTGATGTCGGGGTTGAAGGTCCCCGCGGCAAAGGCGAACATGAGCGACGACTTCCCCACCCCGCTGTCGCCGAGCAGGAGGACCTTGATGCTGGCGTCAACCGCCTGCGACATCCAACGCGGGCCCAAACTCACACCCGCGCCCCTACCTTCCCTCTCCCCCCGGGTTATATATAAATATATATATATGTGTGTGTGTGTGTGTGTGTGTATATGATCTCGCCGCTTCTCTGCCGGTGCGTGTTGCATCAACGGCACGCAGGCCAAAAACAAACAAACAAACAAACAACACACAAACACAGAAAAGAGGAAAAGAGTCTATTGGTTCAAACGGCATTGCGTGGCGGCTGCCGCAACTTCACAGGGGGACGCTTAAACTCCCCCCCAGCTCTCTCTCTCTCTCACACACACACACACACACTCGCTCTTCTTCACTGGACATTAACTCTACATCAGCACACTCCGCTCCGTGCCCATCCACCCACAACACTTAAGAAGTACAGGAAAACAATACAGACGTTGGGAGAAGAGGGGTGTGGGGTAACACATGCACTTCCTCCAGACTTTTTTCACCCCTCCCCCCTCCAGCGTGGCAAGAAACAAAAGACGCCGGCAAGCCCTCACAGACATCGTCGGAACCCTGCCGACCCTGCCGCGCTCAAAAGGCAATTAAAGGGAAGAAACAGGAGGCAAAAAAAAAAAAACAACAACAACAACAAAAAA